ACTTGTATTGCTAGCAGCTCCTTTGCATAATATTTCATGTCACAACTGAACCATGGGACTTCATGAATAACTTCTCCAGATTGTTCTGCTGCAACTCCTGAGGGTCGACAGACCACGACCATGTGATGAGTTTAAAGAAACAGACTTTCATATAAACCTCTCGCAGCAAGAACATGACTCTGCATGTTGCCAAAAAGGGGAAAACATTTGATATCAAAAGCAGTATCAGTAAAGGAGGTCATCTTCCACCTCAGGGTTGATTTTAGTTGTGGATGTGGATTTAGACTATTGGCTGTGCTAATTAGAAGGCGGCCACAGCGACCGTAACTAAATGTAAATGTAAATGTGGATGTGTAGTGTGTAGACATCAAAGCATTCTTAAGAACACTGATTAATCTGTATTTCAATTATTTAAAGGATTGTGTAAAGCTGTAGTAGCGGCACATACTCACTATTTCTATTTGTCTTGTCTAATTTGTATCGGCACTGATGAAGGACCTTGAAGAACCTCTCAGTGAAAAGGCCTCATCGAAAGTGTGTTTGATTCAACACAGACAGTTTCTCAGATCTGACTCCATTCTGATATTAAAACACTTGCAGAATGGGTTGCGATGGCACTATATGTTGAAGACATTTTCTTTAGGTTTCACCTGCAGACCTGTGTGATGTGCTCACAATAAACGAATTACAACACATTTGTTTTCATGAATAGATTTTTATATAGAAAACATTAAAAATGTCAAATTTAGAGTCTCATTGCTATTGTATTACAGTAATATTTATAGTTACATTTCTCAGGTTTCCCTCTAAAATCATGTAATTGATAATATTTATATGAAAATGCATAGCTTAAACATCTAAGGAAATGAAACGAAAATGCAAGCAAAAACAAATCTGAATTGACACTTTCACAAATGTTGTTTTTGTTTGTTTGCCGAGTAGCCCTGCTCTGATCCTAAATATATACTGCCTACTGCTGTAGATATACTTTGTCTATCATGAAATATACCATCTACTGATTTTAATTTGGCTATAGCCTACATGTATAATTCATCAAGAGAGGCTTGAATTTTTTAAGAATACGGAGTTGCACTTTGTGAAATGAAATGGCGCCCTCTATGGACCAACAATTCATAATGACACTAAAAAACCCCTCATGAACGGCATTGATTCTCAAAATCCAGGTTTTTACACAAAAACATTTTAAATATCATGATCTGCACAAGCTCATTTCTGCTCTGACATCACAAAACCAACAAACAAAACACATCTAAAACCAACAAAAACACTTCTTAAAGGAATAAAGCACTCACAGATGAAAATTCCTGTATGTTTTGGTTTTACATTATAAACCACCATTTACTTTCTCTGTAAAAATTTCTTCCCTTTGTATTTCACACAAATAAATAATTAATACGGGTCTGATAAATGATGATGACAGAATTTTCATTTTTCGACAAACTATTGCTTGAAATAAGATTCAGGCAACAAGTCTTGAATATTAATTAATCAGAAAGTAAACAGCTAATTAACTTCTGTGCACACAGTTGAAGTGACTGTAACAAAACAACAACTAAAGTGACTGCAACAATAAATAATATTATTAAATATAATTTGTCAGATGTTGACAACTGTGACATACAGATAAACATTTACCCTGCATAGATTTGTAGTAGAAGCTCTCAGAAGGTCTCTCCATCCTAAAGGTTTTATTGACAATTGACCACTAATATTTGATCTATTAACTTTGTAGTTTTACAATTACTCTAATACAGGTTCCCAATGAATGCCGGGAATGGATAAAGACAGGATGCAACTAACATTCCTGCCTAAAGTTCATTGAGAATTACTGTACATTTTGTTAATTGAAATATTCAGAATTACCTCTATTTTACATAAAATGCATAATAATTTATACACTCAGATGTGGAACAAACAACAACTAAACATAAATAAATAATAATAAAAAAATACACATAAAAATGTAACAATTAAATATAGCAATTTATATAAGACAGATTCACAAATATCATCTAGAATCTTTGATTATACAGTCACTCCAAACATATTTCAGTGCTCTACAGGTACTGACGGTAATGAACACTCATGTACTGAATATTGCACTTCCAGTTATTAGTAAATTATGTGGAGGTAAAATAGCCTACACTCTCAAAAATATTTAGACCTAAATTGAAGATGTATGCATATGAATTGCTTATACAATTTCCATCCATTTGGATTACACAGTTTTAACATTAACTACTAAACATACTGTGATGCATGTGTCAGTCATCCATAAATGAAACAGGTTACCAAGTTTTGTAATAGTAATAAAATTAACACATTTTAAGTACAGTACACAATTATTAGGTTTATATATTTGTCATCAATAATAATTTGTTTCAATCTATATTTTACGTATTTGAATATTGCTTGTTCATACTTTTTTGTACTGAATAAATGTAATTTTTTTTTTTACAATGAACAGATTTATGCTGAGCAATCTGAATAAATGCTACTGAAATATGACTTAAAATAAAATAAACATTAACTGAATAAAAAACAAATAATAAAAATACTTACTTCAGCTAGTTGCCAAGGCAAATTTTCTTATTTTAATTTGGATTAATTTAATGTACTAATTAATTTGATGCACTAAAATAATGAAAACTGAAATAATATATTCAGAAATATAATGACTAAAATTCAAATACTAAAAATAAAAAACACAACAAAATTAGAACTTTAAGCCTAACTAAAATGAAAATGAAAATGAAAAATAAATAAAAATAGATTCAAAATATGAATAAAACTACAATAGTATCTAAAATACATTAAAATTTTAGAGATACACAATCTTTCTGAAAACCATTTATGTATGTCTGACAAATATGCATTACATTAAGTTTATTAGTAAAAAAAAAAAAAAACTGTGTAATCCTAATGGCTGGAAATTGTATGTGAAATTCAAATACAGAAATCTTTGAGTGCATGGAGCTGTCAATCAAAAAAAAAAACTGTCCAGTAGAGTCACAGCACATTTTACCTTCTAGTTAAAGGGTTAGTTCACCCAAAAATGAAAATTCTGTCATTCTCCGCGTCACCCTGTAGAGCCATTTTGGAGAGTATCAGCTGGATGTAAACAGCGTATGCTGTTCTGTGTCAGCTGCGTCACACGGATACGTGGTTTCCGTTCAGATCAAATCACAACAACGTAGAAAACCGATCCGATACATTTTACAGTTGTATTGCTGTCTATGCAGTGTCAGACAGCTCTCAGATTCCATCAAAAATATCTTAATTTGTGTTCTGAAGATGAACGA